ACTGGTCCGTCTGTCTGACTGGGTGGAAGGCAGACGAACACAGCTAATCCCTGTATCCAGCAGGTGGTCTCGCCCCAGCCTGCGGCTACAAATTTCATCCCAGTATTGGAGATGTACCTTAACAATGACCACCCTTGGGCTACAAGATGGGCAGAGAAGGTGCCTATGGGGAGATGAGGGTAGTCCATCACCCCTGCTGAATAAAAGGGCCCGACACAGAGGTGTTCGCAGAATGAAAAGCGCGCGTCCTCTGTAGGTGCGTCAGAGGCGGGCTCACACGTGGAGGGTGGGATGGCTCCACCATCTGCCGGCTTTCCAAGAGCTCCTCCCCACAGGTGACAAGGAGCTGGCTTCAAAGGCGTCAGCGTGGCCCCTGGAAGAGCCGGGACACTTGGAACGTCCCCATTCCTTAACTGGATATTTCAGAAGCGATTTGGCTAACTCTCGGGGTGGAGACACAACCCCCTGAAGGATTGGTAGGCTGAGGAGAGAAGGAGGCACTAATCAGGCCTACCCATCCCCGTGGTCTCTCTGTGGCTGTTCAGATGATGGTGAGTCCCGCGGGTTCTGACAGAACATTGCACAGCGTGGCGGACCTCCCACGGCTCCGGTTCTCCTCCGGAACAAGGGTCCTGAGAAGACAAGCCCAATCCTGCAGGCCTGACCAAAGCACCGACAGGGAGGCCTCAAAGAGCTCCAGAAGGTCCTCTTTCCTCTTCCAGCTTCTCTTCCCCCTCAGTGTTTATCCAGCTTGTTAAACTGTCTTACTCCCATCCCGGAAATTATACTCCATCCCCCTCGGCAGTCTGCCCTCTTACAGAAGAATGTTTTGCTTTGACCAGCTGTATGAGGGTATCTCAGGCTTTATTATTCCCAGTTGCAGCTACGGGAGAAGCAAGGGCAGTCTCTGATGGTGCTGGAATATCTAAGATGTCCACTGAGACGACACAGCAGGTCCGCTGAACTCAGCGCGACAAGGTAGGGACTAAAGTGCCCCTCCTTGTCATGGGCGGTCCATCTCTGAGACATCAGTAGATACTGGTCTGTGCAGGAGTTGTTAGGGAACAATTTCACACCCCGTCTGTCACTCTGTTGTACTGTGGTGGCCTGCATGTTGCTGTGATGGTGGAAGCTACGCCGGTATTTTAAATACCAGCAGGGTCACCCATGACAAACAGATTTCAAAGGTGGAGCTTCCAGACTAAGACGCCCTAGGAAGAAAGGCCTGGTGATCTACTTCTGAAAATCAGCCAACGAAAACCCTATGGATTGCAACACAGTATTGTCTGATGTAGTGCTGGAAGATGAGCTTCCTACGCTGGAAGACGCTGAAAACACAGCGGCTACAACAATGGACTCGAGCATACCAATGACTGTGAAGATGGTGAAGGAGTGGGCAATGTTCATGGACATGGGGCCGCCATGAGTCTGAGCTGACGCCAACACCAACAACAACAACGAACAGCTGAGCCTGAAGGCGGGCAACACCGACTTAGCTAACTCTTCAGGAGTAGAACTTAAGCCCAAATCAGTCTTCTCCCCAGTGTATGAAGCAGTGAAGTATGTCTGGCTTTAAGATAGAGTGACTGTCCCACAGTGGCACTATGTGGGTTCTCAGAAGACGCCAGCCCCACAAGCTCTCCACCCCTGAGTGGCTGAGGTGGACGTAGGTTGCTGGAGAGGCAGAGAGCCCACTGGCCTATTCTGCCTGAGAGCACACCCACCTGCCCTGCCCTGGGGGCTCCCCTCCCCTCCTCCTCTCAGTACAAGTGCTCTGGGTGGGCTAGGCTTTGGGGAAGCTGGGTGTTCTGGTCCCTGGGCTAAAGTGCTCGTTCAGGGATGAGGAGGTGACCTGAATAGGTCCCACTGGAGCATATCCCAGGACTTATTGCAGGAAGGGCCTAGAAGACATACAGTCTTTCTGTGGGATGTGAGCCGGTTCTGAGGCATCCAGCTTGCTACCACAAGGATACCTTCCGTGAGAATGAAGCTCACAGAGAAGAAAGAGGGCCTACAGGTGGGAGGAGAAAGAGAGAAAAGGAGAGGCGGGAGTAAGAGAAGGAGAAAGAGAAAGAGAAAAGAGGAGAGACAGGTAAACAGAGACAGAGAGTGAGAGAGACAGAAAGGTTCTGCTGACGTCTTTCCAGCTTCTGGACAACCCATCAAGCCAGCTCCCACTCTGGACTTTCAGTATGTCAGCCAACAATGCATCTTTTTATTCAAGCTGGTGTGGCTGGGATTTTCTGTCATTTCCACCCCAAGCATCACAACGGATATTACTGCCAGTATCTCAGTGCTTCCACTGGGGATCTGCTGCCTTCTTAAAAAAAACAAAACAAAACAAACAAAAAAAAAAAACAAGCATCCTCAGGAGGCATAAGACGGCACACCTTTTCCATAATTTACGATTTGGCGTGAATGAGTTTTCCAGTGCATTTCCTGAGCGGAGATTTGCTATGGATGGGAGAGAATTGCGTGAGCTTAGTGGGCTTTTGGCTGGGGAAGGAAGAGAAACCAAATAAAGACGCTGGGGGCTTTGAAGGCAGCCCTCCGGCTCAGAGGCTTCCAGGAGTCTGTACAGGTGGTAAGGATGCTTCTCCAAGAATCCTTGACTTTCTTCTTCAAGGGCCCCTGGATGACGCCAAAACATTACCCCTACTAGGTGAGACCTCACGGTTGATGTGAAGCTGAATGTGGCGAGTTTCTCCGTTCTTTCGTGGGTCCTCTGTATTCCTGAAGGTCATTTCGGAGCCCCAAGACCACTCATGTTGTTCTGGCCTCTTTAGAGCATACACATAAGCTAGGAGTTCTTTGCTGGTTGGTATTATAAACCCAACTCAAACTGCTTTACACGGAGAAATTCATTGGCTCATGTGTTGGAAAAGTCCAGGGGTCATGATGGTGGGGTTCACACTCTGGAGCAGTGTCATAAGGACGCCATCTTTCTGCATGTTGGTTCTGATTCCCTCTGGACAGGCTTCCGTCTCAAGATGGTGCCTCCTAACTCCAACATACTCTCCCAGGTGTGAGAACAAAGGGGAACACAGCACTTCTTTCTCAAGAGTTCCAGCCAAAGTCTCAAGATTGCATCTCATTGGCTCTGACTGGATAGTGTGACTATCCCTGAGCCAGTGACTGTGGCCAGAGGGATGCAATACTTTGATTGGCCAGCCTGGATCATGTGGCCACCCTGGAGCTGGGATGGAGACAGTAACCATCTAAATTGCCTGGACATCATGAAAAGACGCAGTGGAGGGGAGGTACTCGGGGAACCAGGTGTTATCAGAAGACGGACAAACGGAAGCTGGAGAGGCAGGGCATACATGTCCACTGCAGGAATCACGAATCCCTGGTAAAAGCTGTGCAGCCAAGAAGAAACTCAGAATGGAGGATATACCTAGTTACAGAACAAGGAAAAGGACAAGACAAGGGCCCAGAAAGAGAACTTCCGGAGGATACAGTTACGTGTGAAACGCTGAGCCTGGAAGCAATGAAGATGAAGTCTCAGGCCTCCCTAGAGGTCTGCTCCTCTTCACAGCCTCCACCGTGGTCAGCTACCCCCAAGGCCTCGCAGACAGAAAACACTCACTCAGTGATAGCTGAGTTAGACTGCTTGTGAAGTCAGCGATCAGCAATAGCTCCCTGGGGCTGAACCTCACAGAGGCTGGTGGAGGAAACACGTCTTCAACTGGATGGTGAAAAGGAGGGAAAATCTGGGAGGGAAAGGAGGGCTTGCGGGGCTGGGTGGTGGCAGGCCGTGCTGCAGAAGGGCTGCGTCCTGGGTGTATCCACGGGACTTGCCGAAGGCCTGGATGCGGAGAGACAGAGAGACGAAGGAAGGACCAGCTGTCATGGACCGGTGTGAAGAGGGCTCCAGCGGCAGGTGGATGGGTGTCGGGTAACACATCACACGGCCTCACCGCCTTCTCTCTGAGCTCCTTAGGGGCAGGGACGCGTCTTCTCTCTAATCTCTGCAGCCCTGGCATCGTGAATGGTGCCATGCCAAGCTCTGGGGGAAGACCCCATTTGTGCCTGTGGTCGGATTTCCACGTGGGCGGAGGTGTTCCCAGAGCTCCCTCACAGGACACTCCAGGCACAGACTTTACACTGGTCCTGTTCAGCCCAGTGGGAGCCGGTGCCCTGACGGACCCCGGCACCATGTCCCCAGAACCAGGAGGGAACGAGTCCATCACACCTTGGTGCGTGCCTGGGAGAGCGCTCGTTGAGAAAGACGTGGCTGCATCCGCCTTTGCAGCTATGAGGCTGGTGGGCGGCAGCAGCTCCAAAGCCTGTTTCCTCCCATCGCCTGAAAGCATGCTACACGGCTCCTGGCAGAGGGACACTCGAGTCCAGGCCCAGCGCTGTGTCTCCCAGTGTGCCTTTGTTTTGAATCTTTATACTTAATTTAAAGAGGGAAGGATGGGGGAAGAGGAAGGAAGCGTCAACGGGATTGAAATAAGGCCGAGAGCTGGTTTTCTAGGTCCCGGACGCACAGAGTGTCTCAGGAGCCGGGCAGGGGCTGGAGAAAGGCTTTTTCTCATCCTCTGTTGCCGGGACTGTGAATCCCAGCCTGCGTAATTGTATGCTGTATACCCTCACCAGTTTTGCAGCGACGCTTCGCTCTATAAAATCATCCGAGAGCAGCTGTGTACCCATCCATCTAGGTCTGGTAGTCCACTCCCTCCCTCTCCAACCTGGCTGGATGGAGAGTGACGTCTGTTGGGGTGTTAGTATCCAAATCCCACCATGACCTTCCCAGCTGGGAGCCAAAGGCATTTTGCCAGCACCACCAAGGGTTAAGGAAAGCTTCACAGACCCAGAGTCTTCCTCAAGGGCTGTTTTTCTTTCTGTTCTGCTTTTGTGCAGGGAGAATCTCTCGGTTTCAATGGCAGGGTGACCAGAGTGGGATGGGGGCCCCGTGAGACCCTGATGCCCCAGCCGATTGGTGAGCAGAGAGGCTGCATGACAGCGGTCTCGGCAGGGACAGGGGGTCAACTTGCCTTAATGGCGTCTTCGTCCGAGGACCTGCACTGCACTGACTCCAGCAGCTCCGTCACTGTGCCATCCTCCTCCACGGAGACCACCTTCACTGGCACGGCCACCGTCTTCCCTGTGAGGATGGCCGTGTTCAGGATCTCTGCCTCCTGGAAGACCAAGGACAGCCTCCATTACACCCTCCCGAAATGGACCACACAGACACAGACACACAGACACACAGACACACACACACACACACACACACAGACATACTTATAGACACCCCCACACACAGACACACACACTGACACACACAGAGACAGACACACATACTTACAGACACACACTTACATACACAGCCACACAGACACACAGCCACACAGAGACATACAGACACACACACTTACAGACTCAGGCACACACACACTCACACCCCAGTGACATCAGGTTGGGGTCGCCAACACCTAGGGGCCTGGAAGGTCAGGTAAATGATGGACACAGGTCCCATGGAGACCGACGGGAGGTCGTGTGAGCAGTGGAGACCCTGCCCAGCCTCACTGAGCTTCGCCCTAAGGGACTCTGAGCTCTGTTGGGATGAGATGGGGCCCCCAAAGGCTATGCTGAAGTCCTAATCCCTGTCTGTGACCTGGTCTGGAAATAGGGTCTTCCTCTGAAGACAGAAGACGACATTGTCAGTTAAGTCGTATTGGGGTAGGGTGGGTCCCGACCCCAGTCCCTTCTGAGTGGTGTTTTATAAAAGGGGAAGACAGACACAGAAACGGGGAAGACAGACACCACGTGAAGAGGAAGATTTTGAACAAAATCTTCAAATTTCTAGCCCGTAACATTCTTTGTTCAATTCCACGTCACCACACGTCAGTCGTATTCCCATAGCGACCCACGGCGCCCCCATGTGTGTCAGAGTAGAACCGCACTCCACAGGGTTTTCAATGGCTGCTTTTTTGGAAGTAGATTCCAGGCTTTTCCTCCGAGGCGCTTCTGGGTGGACTTGAACCTTCAACCTTTCTGTTAGCAGCTGAGTACCTTAACTGTTGGCACCACCAGGGACCCCGCTGTGCCCCTAAGATGGTCTTTAACAACACTCTGCACTGAACTTCTTCTATGAGTTTGCAACTGCCTGGCCCACCCTAGATAAAGGAAGAACCAAAAATCTGGAAGTGTGCGAGGAGCAGGTTAGGGAGTCCTTACGTCACGGTCAGAGCCAGGCTTGCAAAGATCCTTGTTAATTTGATTTTCATATGAAATCTGAAACGCCTGTTAGTAGCACGCCAGCAGAAGGAATAGAAGTTTATCATCCTAAAATTACATAACCATTTTCCTTATGTTCACTTTGTACTTTTTATATAAGATCTTGTTTCCCCGTTATAGGACTAGGTTCATCTTATAACTAACTAGCTCATTTGGTTCAGCCTTTGGATATGATACTTTTTTTTTTTTTCTTTCAACATTTTAATTCTAAAAGGCAAGACTTCGGTTTGGAATGTTCCTGAATTTCAAAGACCATGCCTTAATTGTCTGAGTATTCGGAGACCTCCAAACGTCCCCTAGCCCACGTCCTTTTTGTCCTCTCTCCTCTGTGTGTTCTCAGCCTGATTTTATTTTGGGGTAAAAACCTAGTAAGAAAACGAAGGGTCAAAACCAGAATGTGACGTTACTGCCTGCTGCCTCCTGGCAGGAGAAAGGACACGTGGCTTTTTCTACTCCGAAGGATGTGGATTAAAAGGAGCGAGACCCGCTTTGTAAGAGCAGTGGTGTCCAGTGGTAGCATTCTCGCCTTCCACGCGGGAGACTGGGGTTCAGTTCCTGGCCAAGGCACCCCATGTGCAGCCACCACTCGTCTGTCAGTGGAGGCTTGTGTGTTGCTAGGATGCTGAACAGGTTTCAGCGGAGCTTCTAGACTAAGACAGACTAGGAGGAAAGGCCTGGTGATCTACTCCTGAAAATGAGCCAGGGAAAACCCTATGGATCACAACAGTCCAGTCCTCAACTGATCGTGGAGATGGTGCAGGACCCAGCAGTGTTTCCACTGCACACGGGGTTTCCCGGGGCCGAGTCAACAGCAGCTGCAACATCCTTTGTAGAGGGCAGAAAAATGCTCTTCAACTCTCTGGTTCCACCGAAATGAAAGAAACAGGCTGGGGAACACTGCTCTCCCTTTGCCTCCAGCTTTAGGGAAAGAAGGGAAAGTAAGCAGCGTCTCTGCTCCAACACTAAACACCCAAAGGGCCTTTAACGTACTTGTACACTCAGGTCAGCATAGTGAGAAGCAATGTTGCGGGTAGCAGATGAGCAGCTGCCCAGACATATATCCCAGTGTTTTCTCATCCTTGGAATAGAACACGTCGTCCTGCCAACCGGGACCTCGGTGAGGATCAGCCTCCTCTGTGCATTCCCAGTTTCTGACGTCAGGCAGCTTCTCCCCACGTAGCTCTGCTTTCCCCGGGAGTGGATGGGTGTGGAGGGACTCACAGAAGCCTTCCGACAGGAGGACAAGAGACCGTGCTTATTCAGTGGGGAAGCACCTGCTGGTTCTCAGCTTAGGTCACTCGTGATATTCAACTGCTCTGATGATTGCTCCTCATGGAACCCCGAGAACTCCGCTGCCTTTCTGCCAGGGATCTAGCTTATCACAGCCCCTCAGAACCCAGGGAGTAAAGGCACACACTCTTGAGTGTGCACTGTCTCTGCCCCTTTGTGAATCATGGTCCTTGCTGGTAGCTCTGCACAGCTTTTCTGTGCGTGTTAGGGGGGCATTCCCGGGCGTCTGACAACATGGCAGCAGAACCCCGTTTTGCTTTAGGTTGTAGCATGCTCAGCCGATAGGACTACATTCTTGGCCCCTAGTCTGCGACACAGTTCTGGTCCATGAGCTGTAAGGAGAGTTACCTGGTGGGTGTCTTGGATTGAACTGTGTCCCCCAAAAATATCTGTCAACTTGGCTAGGTCATGATTCCCAGTATTGTATGATCGTCTGCCATTTTATCATCTGATGTGATTTCGTTACATGTTGTAAATGCTATCACTATGATGTAATAAGATGGATTAGTGGCAGTTATGCTGATGAGATCTACAAGATTTAAATAGTGTCTTAAACCAATCTCTTCTGAGATATAAAAGAGACAAGCGGGCAGAGACACATGGGAACCTCACACCACCAAGAAAGCAGTGCCGGAAGCAGAGCACGTCCTTTGGACCTGAGGTTCCTGCGCTGAGATGCTCCCAGACCAAGGGAAGCCTGATGCATCACAAGGACCTTCCTCCAGAGCTGACAGAGAGAGAGGGCCTTCTCCTGGAGTTGACGCCCTGAATTTGGACTTGTAACCTACTGGACTGTGAGAGAATAAACTTCTCTTTGTTAAAGCCATCCACCTGTGGTATTTCTGTTAGAGCAGCACTAGATGACTAAGACAGAGGGTTTCCAGAAAAGTTTGTTTAAAAAAAAAGGCAGATTCTGAAGGCTGTTTGGGGTTTTTTTCTTTCTTTCTTCCCACTACACGCAGATAATGCTGGAGCTGGGACTGCATCTTGTGACTTGAAGGTGAAAAATTCTTTACCGTTGAGTCGATTCTGACTCATAGCAATGGAAAAGGTTGTGAGGTTGAAGCCACGTGGTTTCCGGATGATGTGATGGTTAAGCACGAACTCTCGTTGGACTGCCTGGGTCCACTCCTGGCCTGGCACTGTGGCTGGGTGACTTTGGATAAGTTACTTAACTCCTGGTGCCCAATTTTCTTCCGCTGGAAAATGGGGTTACTGACAGTATTAATGACGGTGTTACGTGGGTTGGTATTCGTGGAATCCACCGCCCATCTGTCAGTGTGTCATGCTGTGGTGTCCCGTGCGTTGCTGAGATGCTGGAAGCTATGCCCGCGGTCTGCCCATGGTGGACAGGTTTCAGCAGAGCTTCCCGACTCAAACAGAGTAGGAAGAAAGGCCTGGCAGTCTACTTCCAAAAATCAGTGTATGAAAATCCTACGGATCACAACAGAACATTGTCCAGCATAGTGCTGGAAGACGAGCCTGCAGGTTGGAAGGCGCTCAAAATACACAGTGGCCGCCAACAGTGGACACCAGGGACACCAGGAAAACAGTAGCATTGCCGTCGAGCTGACTGTGATGCATAGTGAGCCTGTAAGACAGAGCAGAACTGCCCCACAGAGTTTCCAAGAAGTAGCTGGTGGACTTGAACTGCCAACCTTTTGGTTAGCAGCCGAGCTCGTAACCACTGCGCCACCAGGGCTCCAAATGTTTGCACAAGGACTCCAACAATGGATGCCCAGAGAAGCTATGAAAATGATTTTTTTCAAAAGAAGACTAGACTTACGGCCTGACAGAGACTGGAGAAACCCCGAGAGGATGGCCCCCGGACACCCTTTTAGCTCAGTAATGAAGCCACTCCCGAGGTTCAGCCTTCAGCCAGAGATCAGACAGGCCCAGAAAACAAAACGAGGCTAACGGGGCACACCGGCCTGGAGGCAAGGACGAGAAGGCAGGGGGGGACAGGAAAGCTGGTAGCAGGGAACCCAAGGTCGAGAAGGGAGAGTGTGGACGTGCTGTGGGGTTGGCAACCAATGTCACAAAACAACATGTGGAATAATTGTTTAATAAAAAACTAGTTTTCTCTTTTTTCACCTAAAGTATAATTTAAAAAAATGATTTTTTTCTCTTACCATAAGATATCTTATTCAGGGAAGATATTTACAATATGAAAAAACAAAGAAACAAAACAACCTAGCTGATATGCTATGGGCAGGGAGCAATCGTAAGAAAGGCCCGGCCAGTCAGGCTGGACACCGGCGGGTATGGGCAGGGAGCA